CTTTGAGAGCCCACCGTTGCATTTTGCTTTGTGACACACCTGGCTGGATGAGTCTTCTGTAAGGTGACCAGACGTCCCGCTTTGGGCGGGACAGTCCCGATTTCTGACAATCTGTCCCGCATCCCGCGGCATTTTAAAAAAGTCCCGATTCTCCAAAAATCTGGACTTTTTTACAACGCCTCGGGACGCGGGACAAATTGTTAAAAATCGGGACTGTCTCGCCCAAAGCGGGACGTCTGGTCACCTTAGTCTATCGTCTCTTCAGGAAGAGAGAGGCTTGCACCCAGTGGAGGGAGAGTGAGAGCCGGTTCTGCTGGCGGCTGCCTTAGCCTGAGGGGCGGGATGGGGAAGAGGATGTGCAAAGCTCTGGAGACACCTCCCTCCGGGGACCCGCTCAGCCTCCTCCCTCCCTCTGCCACCACCTCTCCGGGGCACAGGCCTGAGGGTGGGCAGGACGCGTGGAAGGACTCAGCAGTAAGCACTGGCTGTGCTCCGTGAACCAGCGAGTGACTCTGGGCAGGCGGCTGAAGCTCTTCCTCATTGTTAAACTGGGACCTGAGAATCTTATCTATTCTGTTGTGAGGGTGTTCAATTAGATAATGGGATCATAAATTCAAAGTGCGTGGCCTCCAGTGGTAAGAGCTCAATAAAAGAAACGTTAATTGGGTCTAACTCGGCTGCCCAGAGGGATTTGGGCAGGGACTTCTGCAAACACTTTGGGTTCAGAAACCACATCAGTTTCGTGGGCAGACGGAGGAGGCTGCCAGAGGAGGGCAGTTGGGGGGAGCCCACACAGCGAAGCAGTGGGACATACGGGACAGGTGTGTCCGGAGCCGGGAACAGCGGGAAGCTCCTGCCACCTGCACCGGGCGAGCCCCAGGCAGGCTGGGCTCCAGAGAACGGGGAGAGGTGTAGGGCGTAGTGCAGGGTGAGGGGCTGGAACCTGGATTCTCATCCCACAAGGAAGCCTGGATCCTGCCTGACTGGTTCTAATAGCCCAGCGGATGTGGTTCTTGGGTTCAGCTTCAACCAATGAACCAGGAGATCATGGTTCAGTTCCCCATCAGGGCGCATCCCCAGGTTGTGGGCTCGATCCCCAGTAGGGGGTGTGCAGGAGGCAATCGATCAATGATTTTCATTATTGATTTTTTTCTCTGTCTCTCTCTCCCTCTCTGAAATCAATAATATATATACCCTACCTAATAAAAGAGTGATATGCAAATTAATCATCACTCCACTCCACAAACCACACCCACCAGCCAATCAGAGTGAGTATGCAAATATACCTAACCAAGATGGCTTCAGCCACAGAGAGCAGGAGGGAGGCGTTTCCCTGGCAACAAAGGAAGCCAAGCTTTCTGCCTGCCCTTGCTACAAAGTTTCAATTATAGAAGGTAAACAAATCCAAACAGAAACAACTGCGGCCACTGGTTCCACTCCAGGCTACAAAGTTTCAATTGTAGAAAGTAAATATATCCCAGAAACCAGGCTTCCGCTTGGAGCTTGGGTTGCTGGGGGGCATGGCTGGCCTGCAAACCACCACAGGCCTCTTGCTCAGGCTGCCCCACGCCCTAAGGGAACCCACTCTGATCCGGGACACCCTTTAGGGCAAACCAGCTGGCCCCCACCTATGCACCAGGCCTCTATCCTATCTAATAAAAGAGTAATATGCAGATTGACCACCACTCCAGCACTCAAGATGGCTGCCCCCATGTAGTCAAAGATCCTGCCCCATGTGGACACAAGATGGCTAGCAGGGGAGGGCAGTTGGGGGGGAATTAGGCCTGCAAGGGAAGGTGATCAACACAAGATGGCCTGCAAGGGAGTGAGTGGTTAGGGGATGATCAGGCTGGCAGGCAGAAGGGGTTAGGGGCAATCAGGGAGGCAGGCAGGTGAGCAGTTGGGAGCCAGCAGTCCTGGATTGTGAGAGGAATGTCCGACTGCCCGTGTAGGCATGATCCCACCGAGATCAGTTCTAAACGGGCAGTTGGGCATCCCTTGAGGGGTCCCAGATTGGAGAGGGTGCAGGCTGGGCTGAGGGACAACTCCCCCCTGCCCCCGTGCACAAATGTCATGCACCAGGCCTCGTGTGTGTGTGTGTGTGTGTGTGTGTGTGTGTGTGTGTAAATATATTTTATTGACTTTTTACAGAGAGGAAGGGAGAGGAATAGAGAGCTAGAAACATCAATGAGAGAGAAACATTGATCAGCTGCCTCCTGCACACTCCCTACTGGGGATGTGCCCGCAACCAAGATACATGCCCTTGATCGGAATCGAATCTGGGACCCTTCAGGCCACAGTCTGATGCTTTATGCACTGAGCCAAACCAGTCAGGGCAATAATATACATATATATATATGAAATGGTTCCAATAACCTTCCATGCAGAACCTGAAAATCAGACTATACCACCCCCTGGGCTGGTTTTCTGGCTCTTCTGCAGTACCTCCTCCCTGTGCCCCAGCACCCCAGGTCCCCTGCCTCTTTCCAGCATGGCCCACTCTGTCCCACCTCCTAGGGGAGGCGTGGCCCTGGGGGCCCAAGGCTCCCTTCCTCAGCCATGCCCAGAGGAGCTCCCCTTGAATGCAACACATGAAGGGTTAACTTTGGCAAGTCCCTTTGCCCTAGAGGTAGGTGAATTTAAAAAAAAAAGGGGGGGGGGAGGAGGCAAAGAAAGCACTGTTCCCTCTTCCCTCTTCCTGGGAAGCCCAGCTCCCCAGGCTGGGTCTCCTAGGGGTGCTGGGAGCGCTTTGCTAGGGTGGTTTCTCCTTACCCTCTCTTGGTCTAGCCCCGTAGCTGGCAAACTGTGGCTCATGAGCCACATGTGGCTCTTGGCCCCTTGAGTCTATTTTGAAGAAGTGGCATTAGAAGAAGTTTAAGTTTAAAAAATTTGGCTCTCCAAAGAAATTTCAATCGTGGTACTGTTGATATTTGGCTCTGTTGACTAATGAGTTTGCCGACCACTGGTCTAGCCCTTGCCCCTCTCTCTCAGCCTTGATGGGGGGAAGACGGAAGGTTGTGTGAAAGAATGACAGAGGAGGGAAAGGTGAGTCAGGTATGACCTGTGTCTGAATATGCAGGCAAAGAGCCAGGAGGAGCAGGCCCTGGGGGAAGAGGGGGAGGAGGAGGTCCCTCGTCCCCTCAGGTAGGGGCACAGGTGATGGTGGGACAGGCCTGGGTGGCCTTGACCCCCTACCCACCCAACCCCTGTGCAGGGACGGGGCTGGAGGATCCTTCCCCGGAGCAGGATACTTCTCTAACCCCGGTCAGTTTCCTCGGTAAGGTATTTTCTTTCCAACGTCCAACCCCTGAGCCCAGCCCACAGACGCTGGTGCCAAGGATCCCTCTTCAGGGCTCCTTTTAATCCCGCCCCCTGGCTGTGAGCTCTGAGCTGACTGCTGAGGCACCTTCTCTGTCCGGCCCTCAGTCCCACCCTCCTCATCTCCCTCCTATCCCAGGGCGAGGTCCTGACTCCACAGCTTTGGGGTCCTTGCACCATTCAATCTGGCTGTCTCTCCCTCCGTCCTGCCCGCATCCAGAGCAAGCCCAAGTCCCCAAACTTCCAGAGAAGTCAGCCATTTGTAGCAAGATCCCCCCAGCCTCAGCCCTGGCCTTGGGCACTGAGCATGCGTGGCCAACTTGAGGCTCAGAGCCAGCCCACCAGGTTCCGGGGAGCGCCCTGGGGGCCTGTGGTGGGGTCCGGCTAGCCTTCTCCTCCCTGGCCTTCTCTCTCCCTTTTGGTTACATGCCTCTGGGAGGAGATGGCATGGAACAACCTGTCCCAGCCTTTCCCGCAGAGCACACACAGGCACGTCCTTGTTGTGGGCTGACCGCTCCCTCAAAGGCGGTGCAGTTCCCCTGAGACAGACACCATCCCCGAGAGTCCTGGCCAAAGGAGCCCGGCAAACAGTTAAGCTTTCCAGCCGAAACCGGTTTGGCTCAGTGGATAGAGTGTCAGCCTGCGGACTGAAGGGTACCAGGTTTGATTCTGGTCAAGGGCATGTACCTTGGTTGCGGGCACATCCCCAGTAGAGGGTGTGCAAGAGGCAGCTGATCGATGATTCTCTCTCATCGATGTTTCTGACTCTCTATCCCTCTCTTCCTCTCTGTAAAAAAACCAATAAAAAATATATTAAAAACAAAACAAAAAAACCAGTAAGCTTTCCAGAGACCCCCGCCTTTCCTCGGCTCACCCTCCTCTGCTCACCTGTGTCCCTTAGGCATGCTTTCTCGAAACTCCCCAGATTGTACTGTCGGATAGGGTCGGGGAGGGTCTGTCCTCCCACCAGATTGTGAGCTGCCTGGCTCAGAGGCCTGTCCTGCTTGTCTCTTACCTGGTGTCCAGCCCAGGCAGGGACACCTATGGATAACCCACTTGTGTCTTTTCTAGGAAGAAATAGCAAAATGACAGAGGCACAGACCTATGACCTAGGCTGGAGGGACATGGCTCCTATATCTGTGTTCCCTCCAGGACCCCCCCCCCCCCCCCCCACGCTGCTTCTCCCGGGGCCCCATGCAGAAAGGTTACGTTTCCACCTGCGACCAACAGAGGGGGCTCCGCACACCAAGAGCATTTTGGTGTCGGGCCCTGCGCACTGCAGAGAGTTCGCTCTGCCTCCGCCGCCTCAGCAGCTCCCAAGGTGATCCTGGCAAGTGATTGCTGGTGCCTGGGCAGCTCTGCCTGTGCACCCGTCCAGCAAGCTGGGCCTGCTGACCCTCCCCTGTGCCCTTCCCGCTGTCAGGGGTCCACGGGGACCCTCCCATGGGTGCTTGGGTTTGGCTCTGTACAAAGCTCCCCGTGCACAGTTCTCCCGCCCCCATCACCGCCTCGGTCACGCGTGCTGCCAGGTGACGCTGGTTCGCCGCAGCAGGCGTCTGCTTCCCAGCCTCGTCTTCCTGGGCGAAGGTCACAGATAACTCCGGCCTTCGGCTCCGCACACCCTCTCCTCGGCCGTGGGAGCCCCGGTCACCCTTCCTTCCACCCCGTCCTGTGCCAGTTACCTTGTCCCAGTCTACCGCTTTGAGCTTCGGCTCCATCGCCGGGTCTGTCTTCTGGGAGTCCGCAGAGGCCGCAGCCCCGTTCTCCGTGGAACCCTGGAGAGAGGAGGGATGGCGATTACTCACAGTCCGCCCTCAGCCGCCCAAGTTCAGGCAGCCAGGAGTGGCGGGAGCCCACGGCGGGGCAGGGTGGACGGAGACCAAGGATATTGAGGACATTTTGAACACAGGCCAACAATGATGTGCATGGTATTATTCTCTGCATGCTTCTTCTCCTTTAAAACAAAACAAAACAAAACAAAAAAAACTATTTCTGCCCTAGCCGGTTTGGCTCAGTAGATAGAGCATCAGCTTGTGGACCAAAGGGTCCCAGGTTCGATTCCAGCCAAGGGCACATGCCCGGGGTTGTGGGCTCGATCCCCAGTAGGGGACGTGCAGAAGGCAGCCGTATCAATGCTTCTCTCTCATCATTGATGTCTCTATCTCTCTATCCCTCTCCCTTCCTCTCTGAAATCAATAAAGAAATGTTTAAAAAAATAAATAAAAAAACAATTTCTGCAAAAAAAACAAGAGGCAGAAAGATCCCAGGGTGGAGGGTGGGCTGGTGGGCAGGGGAGCAGAAGCAGAGAGACTGTAGGGAAATGAGCCATTCGTGGGAGTGTTCTGGGCGAGGAGGTCCCCGCCAGCCGCCCTCCTGGGCCGTGCCAGGTGTCAGGCAGAGGGAGTCACAGGAAGTCACCCTGCGGGCTTGCTGGGCCATACGCTATGACTACCCTCCCCAGGAATTCCACAGAGCTCCCGGGGGTCACAGGCGGGGCCCTGCAGGCCCATGTGCCCATGTGCCCACAAGAAAGAGAGGCAGCGGAGAGCGAGGGAGATGGTCCCTCCAGGAACTCCCGCGTGTGGGTCGGTCGCCACACACTGTGACACTGGCAGAGGAGTGCCCAATGGGCTCAAGGTGAAATCGCAGGGGCAGAGAGGCAGAGTCAGAAGGAAGTAGAAAGCGCTAGGAAAGTCACATGGTCCCCGCTGGCCCTGATGTCGCCGGGCGAGGCAGGGGAGGGCAGGCTGGCACGTAGCTGATGATTCTCCTTCCCTCCTGAGTAGTTATTTTCCCCTTTCTTAAGTTGGGTGATCCAACCCTTCTGCGCCCACAACCCCAGTTACTGCAACTCCACCATCTCTCTCAACAAGACAGAAGGCTCACTTTGGGGCCTGAGGGAAGGGGTTCTCACATGCCTTATCTTTTCACTGGTAGCCCTGTGCACGAATTTGTGCACCGGTGGCTCTCTGCGGGGCCTGGCCACTCTGCGACCTCTGCCCAGAGGCTCTCCAGGCCCAGAGGCCCTCCCTCGACGAGGTGATGAAGCAAGCATTCCGCCTGGCCGCTCACGCTGCCTGCTCTCAGGGGCCACCCCCCCAGGACTGGGGGACTCCAACGGGGCTGAGAGGACTGGGCGCTGCCATCTTGTGGTTATGGGGGCCACCATCTTTGTGGCGGAGTGACGGTTAATTTGCATATAACCCTTTTATTCGATAGGATGGTTTTGTCTGTGCTCCCTGAGAGGCAGACACAGAGCTGTTTGGGGGGTACCTCCACCTGAACAATCCCTGGGAGCAGCAGGAAAAGGTGGTCGCCTCTGGCACGGGGTGCAGCACCCATCCATGCAGCCCACTCCTCTGCTCCCTCCAGTCTGAACTGTTTTCTGAGAGCACCAGTCCTTGGCTCAGCTGGCGGCCTTGGGTTTCCAGGGGCCACTCCTGGTTCTGTCCCTGTAGGACCACACACACACACACACACACACTCACACACATACACACACACACACACATACACACACATACACACATATACACACACACATACACACACATACACACACACACACACACATACACACACACACACACACACATGCTTTCTTCTTCATCTGCAGGACTGTACATATTTGTGGGCACCCGGGACCCCCATCCTCTGCCATCTGCTTTTCCCCAAGACCCTGTTAGGACATAACAGGGTCTCCAGGCAGAGTGGGTGGTCCACGTTCCGCTTATAAAGTGGGAGTGACGGGACCAGCGGGTGTGACGGGACCAGTGCTAGATGGGCTGGGGCCTCCCCCGTATGGAAGGCCACCTTTCAGGTCATGGGAACTGATCTCCCACCGGCCCTCTGGCGGCCACACCACATGGCTCATTCTCTTAGGACCGTGGTCGGCAAACTGCGGCTCACGAGCCACATGCGGCTCTTTGGCCCCTTGCGTGTGGCTCTTCCACAAAATACCACGGCCTGGGCGAGTCTATTTGGAAGAAGTGGCGTTAGAAGAAGTTTAAAGAATTTGGCTCTCCAAAGAAATTTCAATCGTTGTCCTGTTGACATTTGGCTCCGTTGACTGAGTTTGCTGACCACTGTCTTAGCATATGGCCAGCTGAGGCTTATTTCATGCTGGTGCTGGCGTGCTGTGGACAGCGGTGTGCTCTTTGGAGGGCCACAAAAGATGTGCGAGGAAGACTGGGACGCCCGGGGTGGCGATGAACGGGAAGCAGCGGGTCCCTGAGAAACGGGACCAGCAAGGGGGGGTTTGCAGGGACAGGAAGTCCAGCTCCCCGTCAGCCTTCTCTGGGTAGAGTCTTTGCCCTGCCTTCCCAAACGCCTCTCCTGCTAAGCCTTTGGATTAGCCGCCACGTTTCCCTCTAGCCAACAGCAAAGATTTCCCCCTTTCTAAACAGGCCTTGCATCTTCCTTCTCACATGTCACCCTGTCCAGGAGGATGACGGCCGTGTTGGGCACATCCCATATATTCACGGGCGCTTACTCCGTGTCCAGCCCTTTTAATCTTCGGAACAACTGTCTGAAGGAGGCAAGACGATTACCCGGGAGAGACGCGGAGACCTACGCCTGGGGCAGTGCCATCGCCAGTGAGAGGTTAGACTCCAGAATAGTCTCTCGACCACCATCGGCACTTCTTCCCTGACCACACCAGCCAGACACATCTCGTTGTTTTCCGACTTTCGGAAAACCATACTTCCCGTGTGACTCCGGGCGACCGTTGGTGTTTATGGTTTCCTGCCTCTTGTCGTCTTTGGATGCGTGGGTAGTTGTCTCGTTTGTCCAATGGCATTACAGATTCCAATAGGGCGGGAAACTATGGTGTCTTTCCCCAGGTGCCTAGAAGGGGCTCCTGATGCTATGAAACGCTCCGTTCCTATTTCCCGGGGGGACCATTAGTCAGTGCTGTGGGCTGTGGGCTGGGCTGCTGGGGACGCAGCCCTGAAGCTCCCAGAGCACGCGCTTCTGGGAAATAGAACACAAATGGGCGCCAAAACCGGTTTGGCTCAGCGGATAGAGCGTCGGCCTGTGGACTGAGAGGTCCCGGGTTTGATTTCGGTCAAGAGCATGTACCTTGGTTGCGGGCACATCCCCGGTGGGGAGTGTGCAGGAGGCAGCTGATTGATGTTTCTCTCTCATCGATGTTTCTAGCTATCCCTCTCCCTTCCTCTCTCTGTAAAAAATCAATAAAATGTATTATTTTTTTTAAAAGATAGAAAAAGAAAACAAATGGGTGGGCGCGTTTGCTTAGAGGAGAGCAGAGGCCTGGGATACCGAACACACCATCTATAACATCCTCTGGGTGGAGAGGAGGGTGTCCAGGAACAATAATTTGGGCGGTACATTCTCAGTGCCCTTTGGCTGAGTACCCGGAACAGGCATGAGCAGGGCAAAAAGTACATTGGACTGATAAGTGATTGCAGACATTTCATTTTGCCAAATAAAAATATTTCCTAATTGCCATCAGCAGCATTTCATAAATGAAAGGAAATTTCACCCTGGCCGGTGTGGCACATTGGTTGGAGTTTTGTCCTGTACAATGAAAGGTTGTGTGTTTGATTTCAAGGCACACACCTAGGTTTTGGGTTCGATCCCTGGTTGGGGGGCATACAGGAAGCAACCGGTTGATGTTTTTCTCTCTCTCTCTCTCTCTGAAAAAAAAAAAATATATATTTTTTAAGAATTTTAAAATATATATATTTTATTGATTTTTTACAGAGAGGAAGAGAGAGGGATAGAGAGTTAGAAACATCGATGAAAAATAGGGTGAGGATTAAAAAAAGAAAGAAAGGAAATTGTGATACCAAATAAGTAGGAAACACTTCCATAGTAAAAGTCAATCTTTCCCAAGGAAGGGCAGTTAGCAACTCTACATTGACATTTAAAACTTATATACATTCTATTTAAAAATATTAACGTGAAAGAATCACACCCTAACATTTTCTTTTATGACTGTGAACCATCCACCATTGTTTATGTTTGGTTCCAGGGGGTCAGAGTCCTTTGGTGCATCTTTCATCTCTAATCTCCGGACATCAGGAAGTGGAGTGAACGTCCCCTTTGTTCCGGTTCTAAGGTTTGACTTTAAAAACTACTAAAGCCAAAACCGGCTTGGCTCAGTGGATAGAGTGTCGGCCTGAGGACTGAAAGGTCCCAGGTTCGATTCTGGTCAAGGGCATGTACCTTGGTTGCGGGCACATCCCCTGTGGGGGGTGTGCAAGAGGCAGCTGATGGATGATTCTCTCTCATCCATGTTTCTAGCTCTCTATTTCTCTAACTCTCCCTTCCTCTCTGTAAAAAATCAATAATATATATATATTTTTAAAATTACTAAAAATCCAGTTTTGCAGAGCGATGTTGGCAAAAAAAAAAAAAAAAAAAATGGGAACAGTACTTTTGAGGGTTTTTTCCCTTCCATTGGAAAGTTTCCAGGTGACGTGAGGGGCATGGAGGACGGGGAGCGGCTCGCAGGCTGCCATCTCTGGCACAGAGCAGTCAGGGACGCTCTCAAGGCAATTGTCACTTTCTTTTTAAAAATCCTTTAAAAGCCGGGACCGGTTTGGCTCAGTGGATAGAGCGTCAGTCTGCAGACTGAAAGGTCCCAGGTTCGATTCCGGTCAAGGGCATGTACCTTGGTTGGGGGCACATCCCCAGTAGGAAGTGTGCAAGAGGCAGCTGATCGATGATTCTCTCTCATCGATGTTTCTAACTCTCTATCCCTCTCTCTTCCTCTCTGTAAAAAATCAATAAAATATATATATTTTAAAAT